GTCCTGTCCCCAAGAGCCCCGCCCCCCAGAGTCCTGTCCCCAAGAGCCCCGTCCATCAAAGCCTTGTCCATCAGAGCCCCGCCCCCTAGAGCCTTGTCCATCAGAGCCCCGGCCCCTCAGGTCACACTCCTGTTTCCAGTGTAACGCCATCTTTAAAAGCAAAGCGGAGCTGCTGTCCCACCAGCGCAGCCATCGCACACGACCCGTTTACCAGTGCAGCCAGTGTGACAGGACGTTCCACCACCTGTCCAGTCTGACCAATCACAAACAGACTCACCTGGAAAAGGCCGGGTTCACCTGCAGTAAGTGTGATAAAGTGTTTGAGTCGTCCAGAGAGAGAGACGCTCACCGGCTGACACACCGCCTGCCCGACCTCTCCTGCACGCTGTGTCACAAGACGTTCAGCTCGCAGACGCAGCTGCTGAGACACCTGCAGACGCACTCAGTGGAGGGGGCGGAGCTATGCTACAACTGTCGCTTCTGTGAGCAGAGCTTCACAGGTGAGTCCCACAGACACTCAGTGCTCAGTGTGTGTGTGTGTAGTGTGTTTGTAACACACCTGGTGTTCTCCTCAGGTGTGACTCAGCTGCGGATCCATCAGCGCACACACACGTCTCGCTCCTATCAGTGTGATCAGTGCAGCAAGGCGTACGGCTCTCTCACCGGCCTCAACTCCCACCGGGCAAGCCACGGCGCCCAGAGCCGCTTCCTGTGCTCGCAGTGTGGCAAACGCTTCAAAACGCGCGACGGGCTGGAGGGTCACCTTAGGACGCACAGCGGGGAGCGACCATACCGCTGCCCCTACTGCCCCAAAGACTTCACCGCGCTCGCCGGCCTCAATGTGCACGTGCGGCGCCACACCGGAGAGCGTCCGTATGTCTGCATGGTGTGCGGGAAAGGCTGGCCATCAGGAGGAGACCTGCAGAAACACATGAGGACGCACACGGGGGAGAGACCCTACGTCTGCCAGGACTGTGGGAAGGCTTTTTCTATTTCCTGTCACCTGACCGAGCACCGCAGGATACACACAGGTACGACCACGGGAGGGTGGCGGGGTCATGACTCTGATCTGTGCTCATTCTTCTTTTTCTTTGAGTTCATATGTCTCTGAGTGTAATCTTTAATCTAAATGATTTTTAATCTAACTTACTCTTTGACTCTTTGACTCTCTGACTCTTTCTGACTCTTTGACTCTTTGACTCTGACTCTCTGACTCTGCCTCTCTGACTCTCTGACTCTCTGACTCTTTGACTCTCTGACTTTCTCTGACTCTTTGACTCTCTGACTCTTTGAGTCTTTGAATCTTTGAGTCTTTGACTCTCTCTGACTCTTGGACTCTCTGACTCTTTCACTCTTTGACTCTCTCTGACTCTCTGACTCTTTGACTCTGACTCTTTGACTCTCTCTGACTCTTTGACACTCTTTGACTCTCTTTGACTCTCTGACTCTCTGACTCTCTCTGACTCTTTGACTCAGTGACTCTCTGACTCTTTGACTCTCTTTGACTCTTTCACTCTCTCTGACTCTCTGACTCTTTGAGTCTTTGAATCTTTGACTCTTTGACTCTCTCTGACTCTTTGACTCTCTCTGACTCTTTGACTCTCTCTGACTCTTGGACTCTCTGACTCTTTCACTCTTTCACTCTCTCTGACTCTCTGACTCTCTCTGACTCTTTGACACTCTTTGACTCTCTTTGACTCTCTGACTCTCTGACTCTCTCTGACTTTCTCTGACTCTCTGACTCTCTCTGACTCTCTGACTCTTTGACTTTTTGACTCTTTGACTCTCTCTGACTTTCTGACTCTTTGACTCTGACACTCTTTGACTCTCTGACTCTTTGACTCTATTTGACTCTCTGACTCTTTGACTCTCTTTGACTCTCTGACTCTTTGACTCTAACACTCTTTGACTCTCTTTGACTCTCTGACTCTTTGACTCTTTGACTCTCTCTGACTCTCTGACTCTCTCTGACTCTTTGACTCTCTGACTCTTTGACTCTTTGACTCTCTGACTCTTTGACTCTTTGACTCTCTCTGACTCTTGGACTCTCTGACTCTTTCACTCTTTGACTCTCTCTGACTCTCTGACTCTTTGACTCTGACTCTTTGACTCTCTCTGACTCTTTGACACTCTTTGACTCTCTTTGACTCTCTGACTCTCTGACTCTCTCTGACTCTTTGACTCAGTGACTCTCTGACTCTTTGACTCTCTTTGACTCTTTGACTCTCTCTGACTCTTTGACACTCTTTGACTCTCTTTGACTCTCTGACTCTCTGACTCTCTCTGACTCTTTGACTCAGTGACTCTCTGACTCTTTGACTCTCTTTGACTCTTTCACTCTCTCTGACTCTCTGACTCTTTGAGTCTTTGAATCTTTGACTCTTTGACTCTCTCTGACTCTTTGACTCTCTCTGACTCTTTGACTCTCTCTGACTCTTGGACTCTCTGACTCTTTCACTCTTTCACTCTCTCTGACTCTCTGACTCTTTGACTCTGACTCTTTGACTCTCTCTGACTCTTTGACACTCTTTGACTCTCTTTGACTCTCTGACTCTCTGACTCTCTCTGACTTTCTCTGACTCTCTGACTCTCTCTGACTCTCTGACTCTTTGACTTTTTGACTCTTTGACTCTCTCTGACTTTCTGACTCTTTGACTCTGACACTCTTTGACTCTCTGACTCTTTGACTCTATTTGACTCTCTGACTCTTTGACTCTCTTTGACTCTCTGACTCTTTGACTCTCTTTGACTCTCTGACTCTTTGACTTTCTTTGACTCTCTGACTCTTTGACTCTTTGACTCTTTGACTCTCTGACTCTTTGACTCTAACACTCTTTGACTCTCTTTGACTCTCTGACTCTTTGACTCTTTGACTCTCTCTGACTCTCTGACTCTCTCTGACTCTTTGACTCTCTGACTCTTTGACTCTCTGACTCTCTGACTCTTTGACTCTTTGACTCTCTCTGACTCTCTGACTCTCTCTGACTCTTGGACTCTCTGACTCTTTCACTCTCTCTGACTCTCTGACTCTTTGACTCTGACTCTTTGACTCTCTCTGACTCTTTGACACTCTTTGACTCTCTTTGACTCTCTGACTCTCTCTGACTTTCTCTGACTCTTTGACTCTCTCTGACTCTCTGACTCTTTGACTTTTTGACTCTTTGACTCTCTCTGACTTTCTGACTCTTTGACTCTGACACTCTTTGACTCTCTGACTCTTTGACTCTCTGACTCTTTGACTCTCTTTGACTCTCTGACTCTTTGACTCTCTTTGACTCTCTGACTCTTTGACTTTCTTTGACTCTCTGACTCTTTGACTCTTTGACTTTTTGACTCTCTCTGACTCTCTGACTCTTTGACTCTAACACTCTTTGACTCTCTTTGACTCTCTGACTCTTTGACTCTTTGACTCTCTCTGACTCTCTGACTCTGACTCTCTCTGACTCTTTGACTCTCTGACTCTTTGACTCTTTGACTCTTTGACTCTCTCTGACTCTCTGACTCTTTGACTCTTACCCTGATCGGTAACAGGTCGGTAACGTCTCTGCTTGTTTCTGATTGTCTCTGATTGGAGGAGAGTAAATTACCAGCTGATTGGCTGTCTGTGTCTCTGCAGGAGAGAAACCCTTCTCGTGTCCTGAATGTGGGAAATGTCTGAGGAGGAAGTTTGACCTGAAGAAGCACATGTTGTCTCACAGCAGCGTCCGGCCGTACGGCTGCATTTACTGCTCAAAGAGCTACACGCGCAAAACTCACCTGAACAGACACCTGCTGACACACCGGGCAGGTGACGGGGAGGCAGGGCTAGAGACGCCGGACCAATCATAACAGCTGATCTCTACTCGACACGATGACATGAAGAGCTGCTGCTCCTCCTCTCTGTGAGTCCTGGATCAAACAATGCATTCAAAGACCTCACAGCTCAAACGATGCATTCAAAGACCTCACAGCTCAAACGATGCATTCAAAGACCTCACAGCTCAAATGATGCATTCAAAGACCTCTCCACTCAAACGATGCATTCAAAGACCTCTCCGCTTCATGCAGCTTCAGCATTTGGTTTCATCCTGAATGCTCAGACAGCAAACTTGTGGTCACAGTCGTTATTTTGTTTGTTGTTTGTCCAGATTTATAATCAGAAGATGCTTCCAGTTTGGAGAGTAACCTGATAAAGAAAGATTAAATGTTAATACTTGATGATAGTTTTGTGATTTATGACATTTCTTCATATTTCATTTAGTTATCAAATGTAAATGTTGGAAGGAAACAGTTGAAATATTACGATTCTCATAAATGAATGACCTACAGAGGAAAAGACATAAATTAACAATATTTTCCCAAAAATTTATTCAAATGAATAAAAAAAGAATACAACACTGCTTCTTTAGATATTAATCTGCATAAACATTATGTAAATAAAAAGTTAAGAAGACTAATAGATTCAGTAACCCCTTTTGAATGTAGATGCTCTGAACACTGACCTCGTTACAGCAGCTCAGTCTGCTCTGATCTTCATCAATTATAACATAAATACAAGTTCAAACTTAAAACACTTTTTGATAATGATAATAATATCACAACCTTATCTTTTTGTTTCTGTATGTTGCATCAAATACATAATCTCTTAATATTTTATAAAATGTACCGATCTCAAATCAGGAACAAATGTTGTGGGAAAACACTGACACCTCATGGCCAAATTAGATATGACAAACAGTTAATAAATCAACTCTGCTGTTTCAGTAATAAATTTACTTTTACATGTAATCACTGCCATCTTGTGGCCAAAGTACGTAATTACACCAGGACAGCAGTATTTGATAATGAACGTGCTGCAGCTCAGATAAACATTTATTTAAACGTTAATAAAAGCCAACTATTAACAATATTTTGGGGTAGAAAAACAATGAAAAACAATCTGTACATTTTATAAAATATTAAGAGATCATGTATTTAATGCAACACGCAGTGAGGAAGTTATTTAAAACGTCTGGATGAGATTTTTAATGTAAAACAGGTGACAACATAATAAATGAAAATGATTTATATTTCAATTCAATCTTTTCAGGTTACTTTAGGTGAACTAATCATCGCAACCACTGTCTTTTTTTGCGGGTCAGTGAACTCACCGTTTGGCTGTGTGTGTGTGCGTGCGTGCGTGCGTGCGTGCGTGCGTGCGTGCGTGCGTGCGTGCGTGCGTGCGTGCGTGCGTGCAGCTCTTTGATCCTCTGTGAGCGTTCTCATTGGTCACAAACGACAGGAGGTCAGACGGTAGGATGTGGACAAACTTTATTGGACAACAGGAAGTGCATCTAATCTTCGTCGTCTCCTCCTTCCCTGTCGATGACTTTCCGGATCCACCTCCTCATCCTGAACAGGTGAGTGTAGAAGCCGTACTTCCCGTCACGGTCGCAGCCCTCACCCCACGACACGATGCCCATCTGATACCAGCGGTTCTCTGCCGGGTACTGAAGGGGTTAAAATAAGGTTATACATCAAACAGAATCTTCATCCTGAGGATCAGACGACGGCCTTCAGAAGGTTTCATCCTGTGATTCGTCTCACCTTCATCACAAACGGTCCGCCGCTGTCTCCCTCACACGCGTCTCCACGATGGCTGTCGTCTGGACTAAAGCCTGCAACACAAAACAGACGTTAGCATCAGGATGCTAACATTAGCTGAATAAGCACCGAGCGCTGCAGACATGATGTCATCAAATCTGCAGGAATTTAGAAACAAGACAGGCGAGACATCAGAAGTGGTATCTCCCTCGTTACAAACATCTGAACCATCAAGCAGCTGTGAGCAGGATGCATCCTCAGGAACTACCTGTTGATTTCTTAACATTTGATTATTCTAGATTTAGAAATGTCTGATAACACCTTTGACCAGTTCGGGGCGCTAAAGGAAATATAAAAGTTCTACTAATCATCCTCTGGGCACCATGAATGTGTCGCCCTAGTTTCACTACAGTCCATCCAATGATTGGTTAGCTAACAAGTTGGTTGGTTAGCCAATGATCGTTGTGATTGGAGGATTCAGTGATGGAGAACAGTAAGCTGCAGGAGGAGTCACAGAGACCTGCACAGAACATGTTGTTGGTGATCGTCACTGATGTGGATTGTCTGCAGGTGAGCTGCTCCTGGATTGGCAGATGGATTTGCTGGAGGACATCGGGTAAGGTTCTTTGCGAGGGGTTCCAGATCTCCATGAGGTTCCCCCAGCCCGTCACTCGACCTTTGTACCCCTCAGTCATCAACCTGTGGAGGACAAAGAACCATCAGACAGTCTGCTACACTCAACTGTCAGAGGAAGTCCTGGGGGGGCGGCCTTACATCTTGGCCACCTTCTTGCTGGGCAGGCAGATGGGGTGGATCTCATTACTGAACGCGATTGGCCGTCTGAGCTGCAGCAGAGCGATGTCGCGGTTCAGGTTCTCCTTCCAGTTGTACCTCGGGTGGACGATGATTTGACTGAGCGCGACGATCTTTTCCGTTCCTTTCTCGTACCTGAAAGAAAACGTCATCAGTGTTGTTCTCACCTTGGACTCAGGGCAGTCCGGAGTGTGTTCACTCTTACTTTCCCCGGTTGTGTTTTCCCAGTCGGACCAGTATGTCGTTGGTGGTGAAGTTCTTGCTCCAGGGTGGGTAGAGGATGCAGTGAGCGGCGGTGATGATCCACTGGTCACTGATGAGACTGGCTCCACACAGCAGCTCCTGAGGCTGACGCTTGTAGAGCATCACCTGCCTGCAGGTAGAACCAAACAGGAAGTGAAATCTGCACCATGTGAAGAAACCAGTTCAGACCTCGGACCTGGTTTTGACTGCAGGTTCTGTTCTGAGTCCTATAGGGATTCACAGACTTTACTGCATGATAACAAAATGTGAGGAACTCACTGATGAGACTACCTAGAATACCTTTGAGACCCTGAGCTGAACCTTTACAGCGTGAAAAACAGACTTCTCAAGAATCCTTGAAAATCCTGGAGCCTCCACAAGAACCCCTGGATGTAGTTGGAAACTCCCTCTTTCAGCAAGTCCAAAACATCTTGCAGAACATCTGGAAGTTTCTCCTATTCTCTTTTGTTAGGAAACAGTAAGGTTCTTCTTTTTCATCCTTATCTGTCTGTTTGTTAATGGACTGGTTTTCATGGGGAGAATAGAGAATGGGTTTAAGCTGTGTTTACTGGATTGTCCGATAGTCTTGAATGCACCATTCCTGAGGTGCGCTCAGAGCGGTGCTCTGTCGCTTTAAATGACGTAATACGACAGGTGAAGTGGCAGCTGACAGAGGATCCGTATGGACGCCAACTTGGAAGCTGTCGGACCTAACAGATGACCCACTCCCATGAACCTGTTTTTGAAACCAGCCGTATCTTATGTGATCCAACTACAACAAACTAAACTGAACTCAAACACGAAGCTTGGGTTCGTCGCTCTAAAAGCCATCCGGTGCAATCAGGCCGCCGGTGCCCTGGCAGACCCGCGTATAGGTGAGCTGACCTAACCTTATGTTTTCCCTGTGTGAGAATCAGTCCTTTCTGTACCTGTCATCTCTTGACTTCTCTGTCACACTTCAGGTTAGGGCTAGTTTTGCTGTATGTATATGTGTAGCCGGTGCTAGCTCGTAACACTTTAAACCATCTCTACTCTATGGAGTCCTGGATCCCTGGAACCTGAAGAACTACTGAAAAGCACATCTCATGAGCAGGGAATGTTTTTTTCTGCACCTCTAGAACCTCTCTGGTCAGAACTTCTGAAAACACCCCCAAACGTCACCAGACCCTCAAAGAGCATAGAAACCCACTCAATGATTCTGGTCTTCTGGTGCTTCCACAAGAACCCCTGGAACCTCCTTTCAGTCTGCGAGGTGACTGAACCCAAGGAGCACGCTGGAGCCTGAAGAACTTCTCGGGCCTGACAAGAACTCGTTCTAGGACGCTCTCTAAGAACCACTGAGATCCTTTTACAAACTCAGAGCAGGGATTCTTTTTCAGGATATGTGGAACCTCTCCACCAGAACATCTGCATCCTAACATCTGATTGTTGTGGTTACTATGGTGACACTGATTATTAGATTTAAGTTACCATGGCGCTGAGCCAACCTCGGCGTCGTCTCCACCCACGATGCGTTTATCTCTGTAGGACTCCAGCAGCTCGTCCTCCTTGGTGTCCTTCTTACCCTGCAGTTCAAAGAGGGGGCGCTCTCCACACACTGCAACACAACCAGACAGTCAATTGGTTTCATGACTCAACCAGTTAACCAACCAGTTAACCAACCAGTTAACCAGCTAACAGCTCTCTGGTTACAGTGAAAGTCATGCAGGTCATAAACATTTAACAAGCTAACCAACCAGCATCCCTGTTAACTAGTTAGTGAAGTAACAGTAAAACACCTGTCTCTCACCGGCTTACTAAGCCCCGCCCCCTCATTGGTCAGTTCGGTGGACTCACTGCTAAGCCCCGCCCCATCATTGGTCAGTTAGGTGGACTCACCGCTCTCTCCTTCTCCAAAGCTTTGAGTGTTGAAAAACATTTTCCTCCCTGGTTTCAAGACGGAACGTTCCTGACCTCCAGACTCAGTGAACGACTCCTCAAGAAGAGAGTCATCTGAAGGACAGGTGAGCAGACAGACAGGTGAACACACAGACAGGTGATCAGACACACAGTTGTTCAGACAGACAGGTGAACAGACAGACAGGTGATCAGACACACAGGTGAGCAGACAGACAGGTGATACTCTCTGTGTTTTTACCACACAAGTTAAGGTCACAGTAGTCGATAGTTATGTTTCCCAACACTTCCACGTAGCACCAGGGCCCCTCAAG